ATCGCAAACATATTTTTTAATTGAGCGATAGACAAATAATATGAGACTCAACCCGAACAATTTTTTTTTTTTACAATCAAGTGTTCATGGAATATTGAATGTATGCTGGTTCCATTGAAGCCTATATTTATCTCGATATCACGATAGGTCACGTGACGATATTGCTATATCAGTTCATGCACTGCATCAATAGTTGAAAACACAGTAACACCGTTCTTCTTGCTGGGGCTTAATCGCCAAAAATTGAATTTAGTATACCGATGCACTGTTGCTTTCGTTTTTTGGCCGAGGTGAATATTTCAACTTACTGTAAGCTGCGCAAATGGCGATCATATATCAAAACTTTCTGAGTATGCATGACTATAAAAATTTTAAACTTTTCGATAAAGTTTTGGGTTTCCAAAATTATGTAAAGGCTTGAGTCCAGTTTTAGTTACACAAATTTCATTAAAACCTACATGTATTTTATTGTGGTATTTTTTTTATCAAATCGCTTAGATCTCTGTAACAAATTACTTTACTGACCTGTACGTAAAAGGCCTTTTTGTCTGAAATTTAGTTTCATACAATTTTTCTCTAGAAAGTTTTTCGATAAGACCAGCTCATTTACGTAAAAAACGTGAAAACCAGCAAAGGAAGTAATTAAAGTTAAAATAACTAATTTAAAATTAAATTGAAATTTCCAGCTATTTAAAGGATTTATTTATTAAAAAAATTATATATATTTATATTCTTATTGAACTAAATAAACTCAAGCCTTGAAATAAAATATATTTACATATTTCGATTTGCTACTTTGTAATATTTTTCGGATCAAAGTCCTTTTTCTTATATGAATTCACTTCAATCTGAGTGCAAGTTTTCATATTGTATATAAAATTATTTAAAGTCAGTGTAGTACCCACTAAAGATCAGTTCATTTAAAACCTGGATTGAGTAGAAAATACAGCGGATTTTACCTAGTACTGTGGAAATTTTAGTAGATATCTTTGGAAAAGCCCAAACAGAACAAAGTTTCCGATAAATTAGTTCGTTATTTCAGACTGATGTTAGAAATAACATTATCGTTGAGCTTAAACGCCACATTCCCTTACTAACACATTTGTTTAGCATTCTGCTCTGCTCCCTAGAAATAATGTTTTCATTATGCTATTAGAAACAGCGAAAAGGAGAAAAGACTATATTTACGTTATAAAGACTTACTTTTATGTTGAGATCTGCATTTATGTGTAACTGACACTTGTTCGGTTTTTGGTAACATTTTATTCAGTAACTACTACTGAAAATCAGCCAAATTATCAGACTTGTTCGGAGTATATTTACATTTTTGAAATTTCTGTCATTATCATTGCTTTCTCAGCTACATACCATAGTTGTAATTCTATAAATTTTAATGTCATAGAAATAGCGAAATAGCCCTTAGATGCGCGATTAAAACACGAAGCTAATCTAACCAGCTGTTGAAAGTCCAAAATTATCATGCACTTACAAATAAAACTACTTAATGTGTGTGCTCACCCACTATCTCCGTAGAAATGAGTAAACTTTTCAAGTCTATTAGTTTTTCAAAAGCTAAATAAACGACGTCGTTTCCGGCGATAAGCGCAATTCAAACCATCTCGAATGTGAAAACTCAGCTGAATTCAAATAATATTGGTTGAAGTACATATACATTGTACAATCTCTGTTTAATTATTTACAAACGCTGATTGTACTTATTAAAAATAAACTCCGCCAATTTGTCGATGCGATCATTCCGAATAATTCATAATTTTATTTTGTTTTATAGTGTCAGCTTAAAGCAGAAATTTTAGATTTTAGATTAGAATTTTACGTATTTCCATGATATTTAAAGTCAACGGAGGAAACCTACTATTCAAATCATCTTCATATCCATTTTATGATCCATTTCAAAGTTCCCTACGTTTAAAAAACACAAAAAATTCCAATTTAATGTGAAATATTTATTGTCGTTCGAAAGAACATCTCTTGGCACTTATGTTTTGAAGATTATCTTTTTTTAAATGTTGCTCGCGGCAACAGATTGTCCATCCGTTGAGTCCAATTTTCGATGACTCGGTCAAACATTTCGACTAGTAACTAGCGAATGACAAGAGTGATGTTTTGCTTCAAGCTCTGAATCGAAGCGGTGTTGTCCGCATAGACTTTAGACAGATGCGATAAGTGGGAAGTGGCGCCATCGAATGTTGGCGAGATCACGAGCTCCAATTTCAGGCATCAAATAGTCGTTAGCGCCATTGACGGTTACGTTCTCACCTGTATCATTTTTGAAGGAATATGGGCCGATGAAACCACCGGCGCAAAATGTGGATTTTTGGATAAAATTACAACTTTTGAAACTCCTCAGGTTACTCTTCGTCCCAATTACGGCTATTTTAGTTGTTTACATACCCATTGAACCAGATATCAGTTTCAATTTAAGATCTGGACGAATCTCTCGAGTCTTCGTGTACAATCTCAGCTTATATTTTCGCTACTGCGTTCTGGACTTGGTCTATTTGCTCGAATACTATCTCACAAAGAATTCGGGGTCAAGATGGGTGATAGTGTTGTGAATAGAACACTCAGTAGGCAGATTATGTTGACCATAAGTTCAACCACATTCGATACGTAACAATATTCCTATGTTACAGTGCGAAATCGGGCTATAATCTCGACTACCTCCCTTATAACAGAACATTAAATTCCATATAATTCTTTCACTTTTCAATATACAAATCAAGTACCAATGAATATATTGGAATACAACTTTTCTCAAATAGTCCCTTTAATGTATGCCATCTCAAGTTTTAAAATGTTCAAAATCGGATCATAACTGTTCAAGAGGCCAGTTACCGAATATGTGGACCCAGTGCAATTGAGGATATATTTACATTAGCTGTTACTCAAACTGATCAATATTCAACAATTCAGTGCTTTGACTTTCCTCGTCTGCCAGACTTCCACAAACTGCGACTCGTCGCTAGAAAAGTCTCCACGTATGAACCAGCTCTTTAAAATATATTTAAAAGCTGAGCATAATTCCATGCAGAGAAAGAGAGCGACTACGCTCACATTTTTAGATGTCCAAATCGTGGCAAAAAAGTCTCCAGTCTCCACTTATGAATTCCATGTAGAGATTACGCTTCCATCTTTAGATCTCTAATATCTTATTTAACTTTCCTACTCATAAACATTAAAATTCAAAATTTATTTTATGATATGTGAGTCGTGGCAACAAAAGTCTCCACTTTTGAACCAGCTCTTAAAAATATGATAGAAAGCTCAGCATAATTCCATGCAGAGAAAAAAAGCGAATAAGCTCCCATTTTTATATCTCCAATATATTTTTTTCTACTTTCCTACATACACACTGCAGCATTAAAATAAGTTTATAAAATGTTAGTAGAAATCGTGGTAACAAAAGTCTCCATTTATGAACTAGCTCTTAAAAATAAGATTGAAAGCTCATAAACTTTAATGTGGAGCATCAATATAATTTTATGAAACGTGACTCGTGGCTACAAAAGTCTCCACATACGAATTCCATGTAGAGAATACGCTTCCATCTTTAGATCCCCAATATCCTGTTTCTACCTTCCGGCTCATAAACCTTAAGGTGGAGCTCAGTATAATTTTATGAAAGTTGTTTTTTTTTTCAATGTTTCTCATAAATATATTGAATATAAAAATTATGTATAATTTTTTTTTATTATATTGAAATTTATTTTTTTATATAATTATATTTAGAAAGATTAAAGTATTTTACAGATATTTCTTAACAAGCAAGAAGGCAATAGATCTTTTACTCCAAGATTGCTAGACATTAGGACTTTCCAAAAAAAATTCATTGAGAGAAAGTTTTACAATCCTAAATTAATGTAGGTCAAAAATTTAAGATTATAACCAATCCAAAATCTGCCATAAGCCTAATTACAAAACACACATTTGCGTTAATCTTTACAGTTCTGGAGTTAATTGGGTTTTTATAATACACCATTACATTGTATCTTTTGGATACCCCTTTTTGCGAATATTCTCGATAGACATCGACCTTTTAGAATTCTTTATAGCCCATCATTAAGTATAATTCATTATTCCTTGAGTAATTTTTAAACATTAACAAGCGTTTACCTGCTTCGGTTGTCTACCTGCTACCTTAGGTTTTGTGAGAAAGCGATTTCAATGTCACACCTAAAGCTGACCGCAGTAAATGTGCAATAAAAAATTTGCCGTTACAAACATATTTCTATGAATTCAGCAAGATCCTATAATATGTATTATAATCAATATCTACTTCTTCCCAAAATATAAATATAAATAAATGAAATGTTATCAATATGACCATGGCCGTAGAGAGAAAATCGGTTAATATATTGAAAAAGATCGATAAATTTATTGAAATAATATTTTTTTTAGAAAAGTTTATTAAATTTTATCAGCATATTTCTTATTTATGTTGCCGAGTATGCTCAAGCACTTATATGATAACTTGATAATGATCGGGTAAAGTATCCAAAAGAAATATTATTGCATATATAATAAAATTTTATTTTTAAATTGATGTTGGCCGTTGAAAATGCCAAAATTGTATTGAAAATGTTTCCAAGCACTAGCGCCTTGACAACTCGGGAGCTTTAAAGTGGCAGAAAGGAATATAGGTTAGTACAAAGATTGCAGATACCCAGATCCTTTGTTAAAATATTCATAAAACCTTGGGAAAACACGATATATTGTCTTAATAATCTATTCTAAGTCATTTGAGATATGTCTTGCCTACCTGCGTATGTTGGTTCATAGATAACAAAGGTGAAGGTGAAGTTTTCACAAAGGGTCTTTCTTTTCTGCGCAATGAACAATTATATTTTTAAAGAAGGCTTCTAAAAATTCATTAGGCTTGCTATTGTTATTTCAATTAAAGTTAAATTTGGTTGCTCAAATCACCTTAGACCACAATTATGAAGCAGGTATGTTAATTATGTACACTGTCTTCGTTCTAGGCGACCTCACAGCAGCCAGTCTGTTCAGCTATAAAAGCCCTGTACGCGTTGCCGTTCAGTGTCATTCCTTAAAACGAATTCAGCAGGAATCAGTCGCAAAATCACAACCACAATAACTGAAAATGAAGCAATTTTTTATAACCAATTCATTTGTTGCCAATGGATGCTCTTCAAAAGGTAAGACCATCCACGGGCAATGTTCTCCAAAGGACAAAATGGTACAGAAGTCGAAATCTTCCACATTTTTTCGTCCATGGGTCAATGAGAAAACCGAAGCTAATTCTTGTCAATCGCAGGTAGAACAGGTAAGGAGCACGCTTCAGGATCAACATTTGAGATACCCAGCACAGAAGGTGGTAAGCTCTAATAATGTGAGAAGTGTACCTGCAACAACGACCATTCCGCCATCAAGTATGGCAGCCATACAACAATCAATGGTTTATGCAAATGCTATTCATATCTCGCCACCGTCACTCACACCACCGAACTCACCACTTGACGAACGCTATGGAGACTTTACCATGAACAGGAGCCCTCTCTATGCTCAGCCGCCATATGTGAACAGTGCAGGGAATATGCCTACATATTCAGCAAATTACCGACCCACTAACCAATATACAATACCAATGATGAATATTTTACACACACAACGACAGGTGCTTATACCAGCACAGCCAGGAATTGCCCAGCCGGGTTTCACACATAATGTGGTTAATACGCCACCCTACACCGCTTTCCCAACGAATTCAACAGCAGGTCAATACTACCATACAAACGTCGCACCGCCTTGGTCAAACCTAGCCTACACGAATTATCCAATTGCAATGCAGCAAGAACGAGCCACATCAGCACCCCCATCCCCGACAAGGGCACATCAGCCTAAAGAGTGTGTAGGAATGCCAAGATCCAGGAGTTTCCCGGATAGCACCGCATTGAACGCGCTGGTGACCCAAGCTAACATGAATAACAAAACATTCTACCCAGAAGTTCAAGTTGTCTCAATGTCACCTCAGTACTATAATGAACCCAAAAATCAAGCCAAGATCACCGAAAATCCTCGACCGCAACAAACCGTTCAGCCAACTATCTTTAACAAGACTTCTTCACCAGAACCTACCGCGACAAAAACATTGTTGCCGGAGGCGACGCCGGCTTTCTGCAACTCTACTAAGCGCAAACCTATTGAATATCTAGCCGGCAAGTTAACAGCATCTGGAAAGAAAGTTAAAATGATGTCTTCCGCAATTAAGTTAGAAGATATATTAAAGTATAGGCCGAATATGGTACGCCATCGCCCGAAGAAGGAAGAAACGGTGGAGCAACAACTTGCCCGCGAACAAAACACTATCGCTTGTCGAAAATATAGACGCATGCGAAGAATTGCTAAAATTTTGGAACAGGAAATGGTTGAGGCAGAATCAGTAAACCACATCGTGGACATTTTATGATGAAATACAACAATTTTTAAAATTGTATTAAATACGTATATATTTATAAAGTTGACCTTTATATGTATATTGATATTATATGTAAATTTTTTATTGTTATGTATTTTTAAGTGACGCGAAAATAATGAAAACCATTATTTGTTTAAGAGAAATTTATTCTTGTCATTTATTTTTCATAATCATGTAGGTTGTACAGTTCGGTATCAAGATTAATTCGGTTAGGGAAGGTATGAACTGCTTCCCGGGATGACTCGCGAACCGATTCGACACATTTTCGCCATTAAACTATATAGGATATCGATTATTATTATTATAGTTCCATTTATTTTTCCTAGGTTATATTGATTAGCAGGAAAAGTATTTTCGTAATTTATCGATAGATGACGTTGCACTCGTATATCTCAATAACATTGTGTCTCTAGCAAGAAAATGGTAAAAACTGTTCGACCAAAATTTCATTTATTTTGAGTATAAATATAAAAAAAAATAAGTTGAAGTTTGATTAGAAATACGAAAAGATTTTTTCGACTACCCAATATGTAAGATATGAACAACGGTATAAAGTCAACCTGTAATTTTGAAGTTATGTGGAGCAAGGGATAATAGTATTGACTCGATTTTATCAATGTTAGGTCCAAAACATATTATTATCAGAAAAATAATTTTTTAATCAAGTGGAAGTTCGAAAATCATTTACCCCCTTGTATCAAATTCAACTCGCATGTAAATTTTTTGACAAGAGAGTAGCACACAACGAAAGCGAAGAGAAAAGTTTTAAATCGTAGATAGTTTTTGTAGCGTTTCATTCTTTGGCGAAGACATAGCTCTGACCAATTTTTTGAAAGGAAGACGCTGCGTATACGCAACGCTTAAGGAAATGGCATCAGCCCAGCATTCAAATTTAAAAATACTCAAACTATTTTAGATATCAAATCATGACTTTTATTTTTTCTAATTTATATCACAGCGTTTTTTGAAATATGAGAATATTTTTCGGGCGCTTGTGCCATTTTATGGCCGTAATAATCGTCCACCTGTGCTCGCTATTCACCGAATTGTTGAAAATTTCGAGCGTACATTTTCTTTAGATAATATTCGAGTGCCAACAATACTATGAAGCCCAAGGAATTGTTCCTGAAGACTACTATTTATCGACACAACCTGAAGGATTTTGAGGAAGGATTTGGGCTTACATCCTTATAAAATTGTTCTCACTTAAAAACTGAAGCCATTGGATCACCGGATTTTATTTGGAATAGCTTGAATCGGTAACGATTTTTTAAGGAAATCATCTCCGATGAGTTATTAAATAAACAAAACTGTTGATTCGGGTGCGAAGAAAATCCACAAATTATTCATGAGAAACCACTACATTCCCCCAAATTGTCAGTTCGGCTTGGTTTTTGATCTGGCGGATTCATCGATCCATATTTATTTCGAAATAAAGCTGGTGACACCGCTACTATCAATGATAATCAACTTTTTATAGCCGCAATTGGAAGAAATGATCTTAACAACTGCTGGTTCAAACAAGATGGAGCTACTTGGGATACAACACGCATTACAGCCGAATTATTACGAGTAAAGTTTGGAGACTCGATTATTTAAGGAAATTGTAACGGTCAATGGCCTCCAAGAAGTTGTCATTTAACACTATTAGATCTCTTCTTGTGGGGCTATTTGAAATCATTGGTCTTTAGTAATCAGCCAGAATCTCTTCTTCTATAGACGTCAATACTTAACATCCCATTTGTGACATACGTTGATTTATAGCCCTGACAGACGAGAAAAATTATTGTGCATTAATAAATACTAATTCGCTTTAAAATTGTATGGTGACAGACGGCAGAATTGTGCATTTAGACTGCTGATTGTGAAATTTGTTTATTTATTAAAAAAAAGTGAAATAAAAATGGATAAGAGAAAATTATTAATAGAAATTTTGATATTTTTGGTAAATCAATATAAATTTAACGAAAAAATTCGTTAATTATTAAATACATTCAAAGGTAATAGAGTGAAATTAAAAGAAATAATTGATTGAATGCGAAAGAAGTGTGCGAAAAAGTTAAGAATATTTGAAAAATGGATCGCAAACTGTGCGTTGTTTATTTTCTGCCATCTAAAAATATTAAAATTTGTTTTTGTTAATACAGTTACACAATTTAATTAGCAATATAAAAACTGCTACACAAGGAAGGCTGCGACTTCAAGCGACATCGGTCAAACAATAGCAAAAAACGATCAGTAATGGGCTACCTTTTATGCGCAGTGTTGCCTACTCAAATTTCGTAAATACAGCTAAATGCACGACATTTTTGGACATTATAAATTTGCATTAACATGGATGAAATGCGCAAGTCAATGTAAATTAAGCCCGCTACGGCAAATTAGTGCTGTCGTCTATCAGGGCTATTATTTGCATTAACATGGATCAAATGCGCAAGTTAATGCAAATTAGGACTTTCAAGGCTATAATAGTGTTTATTTATTTATTTATACAAAGCTTACATAATAATTAATTATTACATAATTGTGTTTAATTTGTAGAAAAAGTGCTCGAAAATTGGACTTAATTGTATCGATTATCCTTCACTACCGAATAAGAGAACCCCTGTGCCATAGATGACTTTTTGTCCTAGATTTCATATAACTAACAAATCTTATCTACCTGAAGGTAGCCCGGCAATATAATTGTTTAGGAAGTAAAAACGAAAATAAAGAATTTGTAATATTTCCTTGCCTTTTTTTTAACATATTTCTGAATCGGTTAGAAAAAGAATTTACGTTTGACAATGTTTAGTAAAAGTTTGTGTATGTTAGCATAAGAATATACCTTGCACACAAAAAAATGTATTGCGATACCTCACACACACACCACGTAAACTTTTTTTGAAAACACTACAGAGGAAGAAAATGGATTATGCTGTGAGCGCATAATGAAAAAAGTTCAAATTGTTAAAGTTCCATACAACTTGACTGGAAACATCTAGGCACTTTCTATTACATTGTTCAGATTTTACAAGACTGAGATTGAAATGTCTCGGTATTCTTACCTTCGGTGAACCATGTGAGATAGCCAAAATTACTGTCTAAGGTAAACGTGTTCAAGGAAAGGCAGTTTCATGAATTCTCCATGTCATAGCTCAATTACTTAATAGCGGTAAGGTTTTTAGTCAATATTATATTCCAGCTTGTTCGATAAATGTTTCTTCCAACGTCTTTTGAAGCCACGTTTTTTTTAGTTTCTAGCGTAGATGTTTTCCGATACTGTTTGATTCTTACTGTTCACAGCCATGTGAGCCATGTGAACGGGATTACCAAATTTTTGTCAAAATTATACGACAATTCATTGATCCTTCAGTATATTCTCCACAATAATTTTCGAACTCAAATTTTAAATAGAAAGCTTCTTTTCATCCAATCAGGACAAGAACACAATCAACTTACAGATCTTGTATTTCAACGGAGCTTCCAATTCCGCAAACTCAACTCTGATGTCTGATGCTGATGGTTTCAATTGCGTTTGAAGTTCATTGATATTGAGATTTTTATATGATAACGGAAGTGCCAGAATTTAAATATGGTCGTTGTTCAATCTCCAGAATGTGGCGCAACTAAAATATATCCATCGGTACAGTCAATGGCTTTTAAATCTCGGCTCACTGGTTCAACGACTACCACGCATCAACAATATATAGTAGAAAGCTTCACTTGTCGTCTTGTTATGTAGTATTCCATAGGACGACCTTTCTTACAAGGTGATATGTCTTTTTTCTTCTAATCAAAGTTAATACATTACTAAATACACTATATGCGCTAGTTACTTGAAGCCTTTTGAACTTTGGGATTCTTAAAGTCGTTCTCTAGCTAATTGCAGCTTTTTGAACTAATAAAGTTTAAAGTAAAAATAATAAATAGTTATAAATATCTCTATAGATTTTTTATTTCAAAAGCTATTATATTATTGTAGGTAACTGGTAGCCAGGGATATTAATTCCTCTTTTCTTCTTAAATAAAACTATTAAACAAATTAAACTGAGGTTAAACTCCCTCCGCAGGTAGACATAGTTGTACATATGCCTCTTGTTACCTTGCCTTAAAAATATAATTTGTGAACGCTGAATATATGGATTAAGGAAATTATGTTGAAATAAATACTCTAGAAGTCCTTTTTGCAAAGCATTCGAAGCCTATAATTGACTCGATTCATACCCAAAAGATTAACCAAAATATGAATCGATTCATAATTTTATTTTTCTCTGATGTCAAGGCGACTACTTTTAACCAATATTACTTTAACTTTCTCGTTATTATCGTAATTAGTAGAGGTTTTAGTGGACGACTAACATATAGAAAATTTTCTACGACTTTACGACCTCCACTGAATATTTGTAATACTTTACGTCAAACATTTGCTTTCACAGAAAAGTCCTAAGTATGTTCACAGCAAAGAGAAACGCAGTAAGGCGAAGCAAAATGTTGAGCAACTCTCATCTTTTTACGGTTTGCCAAGCACCAGTCCCCGTTTGTATTATAGAGAAACACTGAAAGCAAAACGTTCAAACGACACTTTGCTTTCTTCGCTTTGGTTTTAAAGTATGAATTGTTAAGCAAAGGGATTAATGTTGTACTTGTATGTAAATACATGCGTGCAAATCATAAAAAAGAATTATCGATGAGCGTTTAAAGGATTTCGGTCCAATTTATCAATTAAGCCTTAAGAAAATTTAACAAAAATCTAGAATGACCTTTATATTCCCAAGAGGATCTACCATAGATAAGTAATAGATAGCAAGGGATATTAATTTATCTTTTCTTCAATAAAAGCACAAACTTAAATGCGGTTTAACGACTCCCGCTTATAAACAAACTTATACACATACCTCACATTCTGTTTAGCCTTACATTAACAATACAAATCACCTTGCCCTAATAATTTTGCTAATTTCTATTATATTATATGAAAAGATAAAGAAGTCAACTCAAATTAATATCAGGTACAAAGATTGAGGTTTGTCGTATAAACGATTAAGAAATCTTATTTCAAAAGCCCTAACGCAACAAAATTGACCTGTTCTTAAATTACGGATTTCCCCATATTTTAACACAAATCTCTATACACACAATACCAGCGCTTAATTCAATTTTCCGGCGTATGACTTTTAATGAACTCCAAGAGGTAGATTTTTCAATTTCAATCGGAAAAAGTCTCACGGGGCCAAACCTGGCGAACACGGAGGCTGGGCTGATAACTTTCGCTTCAGGTTTGGACAAAAATGTAAACGCAAATAGAATACATTTCTGGTCATTTCCGATGAATTGCTTCACGCATCAAAACGACCAAGTAGTGTACTGCTTATTGACCATTTAATCTGTGAATTGAATGCATATTGAACGACAACATCAAAGAAACCCCAGCATCACCATGATTATTGACTGAATTTGGCGAGACTATTTCGTCATAGGAGTGCTATTCATAAACCCGATATCCGATGTTGAGATCCTCTGCTGCCAACACAAAGATTTTAAACACTGGTTCTATAACATTTTCAATGTTATCGTCCTTAGGAGGTTATATAGATAACAGAAAAACTTTCCATATTTCTTTTTTTTTTCTGCGAAAACTTTTAAATTTATTGATCCATCAATTTGTATACATATTCTGTTATCTTTTAACTGCATTTAAGACAGTATTAGTAAAAATATTTATTTGAAAATGAACTACAACTGATATCCGTGTGCTCCTCTCAAAAAAGAGGTTTTGCGGTGATCACTATATCTTTGAACTGGATCCTCTGAAATTAAAAACCAAACAGACTTCGTTAAAGTAATGTTAAGTTAAATATAGCAATTAATCAAAAGACAAACTGACGGTTTCTAAAAAAAATAGATTTTTGACCTAAATTTCGGCCTTAAATTATTCATACAAAAATATTTATCAGTGAGAAAAAATCTTCGTGTTAAAATTTGATATTAATCGGTTTCGCCGATTCCGAGTAATGTGACCACACAACCGACTTTCAAAACACCATTTTGAGAAAAAACTTCTTTTCAAATTTGCGTGTAACTTCGAGAATATTCACCGGAACGATATGAAATATATGTATACTACTACGTCGCGTGTTTTTTGAATCGGTAAATTTTTTCTATAAGTTTAGTAGTGCTGTTAGTGCCACCTATGCGAAATTTCACTTCAAAATATTCATTAGGATTTGAGATACGCATCGGTTTTTGAGGCTCTAAAAGCGAGTTGTTGAACAAAGAAGTGCCAAAATGCACCATCTCATACTGCATTGGGTATTCGCGATAATTTCACATTTTCAACTAATATAGTGTCGCGATCACCGCATTCACCAGATTTATCATTGTGTAACTTTTGGCTATTTAGCAAATTCGCATCACCACTCCGAGGACACCGTTTTGAGTCAAAATGATGTTCAAGTCAGCGTGGGACTTAATAAGAAGAAAGACATTTCGGTTTAAATGTGTTCCAATGTAGCTTGTGGTTGGAGTTTTATCAATTCTCTTCATGTTATAGCTTAAGTACTTAATAGAGCTAAGGTCTGTAGTAAGTATTACTTTCCCAGTTCAGTAAAAGTTCCTTTCCAATGTCCTTTGATGTCGTGTACTTACCTACTTAGTTTTTCTTTAAGTACTTCCTGATTCTGATCAATCTTTGAAAAGCCATGTTTTATACAATCAAAAATCGGTTGAAGGGCTCAATCAACTCCGCGTTTCCGTATTTCAACAGAGCTTCGCTTTACCGCGAAATCAACTCTGATGTCTGATGTTGTTGTCTTCATTTGCGTTTAAAGTTCTTTGATTTTCAGATTTCTTTACGACGACGGAAATGCCAGAATTTTGATATGGTCGATGTCCAATCTTTAAACCTGATTTCATACATAACGGATTTCCCCACGGCGCCGCCTATAGGTTCGAAGGACAATAATCCGAATTGAATAATTTCGAAAAGTGTTACCCTTATGCCCAACAAGGAAAGGCGCTCGCAACTGATAGACGATGATATATATTGCCATCTGTACAGAGAATGACTTTTACATCCCGGCACTCCGATTCGACGATTACCACTCATCACCAGTAAAGATAGTTTCACTTGTCGTCTCGTGCTTTATTATTCTGTATTTTTAGAAGCCTTCAGTTATGATGAAACCCTACTTGATTTGACCAGCTGCCTTACTAGTGAAGACTGTTGCATTTACTTGACATTATAATGCGGCCAATTGGAGACGAGAAAGAATTATCCCTAAATTCAGAGCATTCATAGAAGAAGAAAACGATGTTATCCCATTTGCCGTGAAGGCGCAGGCCATTTCGCATTACCCAGAGTGCACCAACGGGGAGGCGACCTGCATTACACTCCAAAAATGTTGCGCTGTGCCAGTCACAAAATTTATAAATTACTTAATAAGCTAAATTTTCTAGTTACTTGCAGCCTTTTGAACTTTTACTCGGGCGAAGTAAAAGTCCAAAGTAACCGAAGCATCGGTTTCTTAAAGTTGGTTCTCTTGCCACTAGCAGTTCGTTGAACTTATTAATGATTTTAAGTGCAAAGCCGAAGCAGCTGGAGAACTTCCTTCTCGATACCTGTTAAGAAATTAAACAAGCAATTAATTACGCAAATAATATATAAACAAATAGAATTAAGCAAAAGGAAAGCCGTAAAATCGGATTTTCAAAGTCGCTCTCTAGTTGCTTGCAGCTTTTTGAACTTGGGGATAGAGTTAAGTAAAAAGCCGGAAATAACCGGAGAACTTACTTTCCGATACCTGCAAAACAAAGTAGATAAAATAAACTCTTTAGTTACTTGCAGCTTTTTAAACTTGGTGATAGAGTAAGTTAAAAGCCGGAAATAACCGAAGAACCGATTTCTTATAATTAAATAACTCTTACTAGCATAACTGACCTAGAAACAAATATTCTTACAATAAATATCTACAAAAATCCCTATCAATTTTTACTATTTCGAAAGCGTAGTATTAAACGCTTTAGCCGGCGGCTCTTCCGGCAAGCGATCGTATTACGATCACGTCGTAGCTGTTCCTCAACTGTGCGATCTTTTGCAGGAAACTTACGAGCCTTTTGTGGTTGGTAAGGTAAAATCTCTTCCAAATACGCAAGAGTTACGTTATTTCGCAAACTTGAAAAATTTCGAGATCGTCTTAAAGATTGCTCCCTTTGATTATGTACATTAACGTTGATCATATTTCGCTGCATTCGAGTTGTTGGCCCACCCAAGTAATTTCCGCTTGTATTTTCTCGTACAAGAGGTACCGAAAATGCTGGGATATTCGACAGAAATTGCGTTTGTTGTCTTCGCACGAAGTCTCTATATACAACTTGACGTGCTGGCGGAACCAAATAAGGTTGAATGTATGGCAGAACACCGATTTGTTGCATTCGGACAGAATTTCCACCACTTTTTAAAGTTTGTCCCTCTGAAGGGACGGAATTCGGAAGAATTTGTATAAACGTCGGAAACTGTGACTGCAATGGATGCACGAAATTAAATCTATAATTTTGTGACATGACTAAGTTTGGATAATTACCAAAAAATTCTCCGAGAGGAGGGATCTGATATGAAAAGGGAGGAGCTATCGGTGGAAAAGCTGGCGGCATTCCAAATTTTTTTGGTTGAGTGAAATTTTGTTCCCATGGTCTAAAGGGTTTAAACTCGCCTTGCACAGATTGAAACATTGTAAATTTTTTTCAACAACTCTGATATTATTTAAGATAATTTGCAGCTCTTGATGTACACTCTCGGATGACTGTCAAAAGAATGAGTATAACGGGGCACTTTCGTCCATTTATAGAGGACCTGAAATGTACAGGTAGGTAACAGGTAGCCAATATATTAATTTCTCTTTTGTTTACACTAACCAAAGTTTGGACAAAACGCCCTCCGTAGGTAGACATAATACACATTACCTTTTGTTCATAATACACATACCCTGCAGTGGGACTAGGAAACACATATTTTCTCATATTATAACTCATATAGGTTCGTCCGATGTTATCTGGAAAAAACCCTAAAGTATCTGTAAAATTGAGCCGACATGTGTGATCATCAAACGCTCATCAGAGAACATAAAAAAATATTTTAAAAATTCAAATGTTTTATTCTAATTTTCTATGTCCTATAGTTAAAAAAAAAGCACCAAATAGATTATTGCTTTGTACTCTATGATTTAAATTAATAATTTTCTATTGTACTGTTTTATCGACGGAAACTTTTTTTACCGACTTCGAATCAAAACAATCTTTTATTCATTATGTAGATGTCGCTTTTCACAGTAGTTACCTGCGAAATTTATTGTATTATTTTTATTAAAGAATTAAAATTTTTGGAATCAAAAAACGGTATTATAGCTCTATATATAATAATTGATACTTTATAGTCACAAATTATGGGATGGGGTGCGGTTTTATTATTTATTTTTCATTTTTTTTTTCAATAAATATTAAAAAAAAAACGCTATTTTTCCTCCAAACTGAAAAATTTTAGTTTCGAAACCTCCTTAACGTTACTCTGCCAAAACGATTAACTATAATTATTTTCAATTAACTCGGCATAGAATTATGATTTTAAGTGGCTGCTAAAAATTCATACAAATTAAAAAGTGTCATGAAATCCTTGTTTTACAGGAATTAAACGTACTCCCTCTCTTAATTACTATATCATATATCCATTTTTATACCGGCTTCGCTTGTTAAATAATATATTTTGTTGTTGTGTTGATAAACTTAATGAACAAAAAAATGTTCAAGAAAGTAAGTTAGCGTTAAATAAGTAAGGAATAAGGATAAACTAACGAGATTTCGGGCAAATAACAATTAAGAGTAGGTGCAAGCCATTTATTGATTAGGCTGCTGCGGCTAATAAGTGAGTAAATATTTTAAAATACACATTATATTATATAGCAGAAGTATACTTTAATTATAAAATTATATTCAAATACAATAAAAATAAAAAAATATATATTATATCTTTTTTTATATTTATTTGCCGATTCTTGAGGCAAGAATAAGGGATGTGTTACAAGCATCCAAGAGCACATCCAATACATATCTAAGTGATCTCAAGCATCCTCCAGGAATTCAAGTACAATAAAAATTTACAAAAAGTGCCAAATTAACTAATTACCAAAGTAATTGTATAAAAGTTTATAAAATGTTATTCAATCGCTAAAACACCAATACGGACGCACATCAAAATTCTGATACTGTGTGTTATGTGCATAAAAAGTTCGGAGTAATCAGAGAAAAAATTATAAAAACAAGATGGCGTACCCATTTAAATTTAGGCTCTAAAGTCTAAGAAACCAATGGACCAAGGAAAAAAGCATTATCGTTTTAACAAAAACCGAAACCAAAATAATAAACCGCTTGACATGCCAGACCTCTCTTCACCATCTCTATCTATGCAAACAAAGGTGAAAAGAATAGAACCACTGAAAGGACCTTGTTGCTACAACAACAGCAACTGAGATAATATCCTGTGTTAGGAAAGTTCTTGAATGATGTCTCTGCAATGCCGCCAAAGCCTCTGAAAGGACCTTTTAGATCTGTACCTCTGGTGCTACAACAAACACTGAAAGGACCTTTCAGACCTGTACCTCTGCCGCTCCAACAGCCACTAAAAGGACCTTTTAGATCTGTACCTCTGCCGCTACAACAGCCACTGAAAGGACTTTTTAGACCTGTACCTCTGCCGCTACAACAACCTCTGAAAGGATCTTTTAGACCTGTACCTCCGCCGCCACAACAACAACAACTGTCAATGTTAGAAAAGAAACTGGAGGATCTTAAAAAAATGTACGATGAAAACTTTAAATGAATATGCAAAATAACAAAACCCGGAGCCAAACATGATGATTCGACACTTAACTAAAACCATGTTGAGATCAGCCAATAGGAAAACTTAATCAAAAAACCGAAGGAAAAATACGTTGAATCAGATTCAAAACGAAACGAATGCAAAGCAACCATCAAATAAGAGGAAAATTAATAAGGAGGCAACTCCACGCTTGTCACTAGGTGTCGTAAAAACAACAAGAGAAACTCCTACACCAACCCACCAACCGTCGTCAAAGGAAAAAAATTGTCAACGGCCAATGCAAGCTTCAGAATGCAAGGAAAACGTTAAATAAAAGGAAATATAATAAGAAGACAACTCCACGCTTGTCACCAAGTGTTTTAAAAGCAAAAATGGAAAGTCTTTCACCAACCGCCGTCAAAGAAAAGCAAAAAAAATTGCAACAGGCAGTGCAAGCCTCAAATTCAAAGCAAGTGAATGCAAAGAAACCGCCAAATAAAAGGAAATATAATAAGAGGACAACAGAAACTCCTTCACAGCTAAACTTGGAACAGGCAGTGCATATAACTACCCTTGATTTTTTCCATTTGCGGCATTACCACATCCATCGCCATTGAAGTTTAGTAAATATACGGATTATCAACTGAAGAATAAAGCGGAAAGCAACATGTATGTAGTGAAGAAAGTAAATCCACAACAATATGTGGTTGTATCAAACAAGCTTAATTAGGCGCAATTAAGTTTTACAAAACATAAAAAATTACAACAAAGGTAATATCTAAAATATATATAATTAATATACATATATTGATATGTAACTATGAATGTATTTTGCGTAAATATGTATGGATATACATATGTATGTATAAGTGTGTGAAAATTTAGAAATATAGTGTTGAAACTATTTTAAGATTTTCCTTAATACTTTTCATATTAAAAGTTAAAATGAAGTGTCACACAATGTAAACAATTTTCTGTAAACCTCAAACAATGTAAACAGATTTTTGCAAATGTCAAACCAGAGAATGTTAATAAATTTATTAGTAGATGATTAATATTATTTATTAACATTAATTCTTTTTATTAACATTGTTTATTAATTAAAAACATTAATTATAAAGTATTAACATTCTCTGGTCAGTTCTAACAGTTTTCTATAATGAAAACGTCATATAAAGTATACCAAAATGCGAATATTAATTTTAGCAATTTTTTTATTAATCTTCTGCAGTCTCAGTTAGTCTTACTATTAGTCACAAACGTCATAAACAACTCTAAATAATCAAGAAGTGTGATTTTTTTTAAATAAAAAAGTTTTGGTTGATCTGCTTGAATTTAAAACGCCAAAATTACCGCGAAACAAGTTCAAATTACTTCTTTATTCTTGCCTCAATTTGTGATAGGCGTTTGAAACTTGAATTAAAGATTTTCTCTTTTTCACACATTAAAAAATTTTAAAAATTATTCGAGACAATAGCAACTTAACTGTTAAAACCTAAACGATCAAAAACTGATGACGCTGAACTTTTTTGTGGTCTTCTTTGTATTGGAGATGATTTCTTAGAAATATTAACTCTACCGACACGCTTTGTAAGTGCCGACACCGATTTGCCTTGTGTTGTAGAACTGCAAATATTACTTGCACCACCCAATCGACGATGTACTGGTAATTCCTGACGCATCAGAATTTCATCTGACTTCAATCGCAAAGATTTTGCTTTGACGGGGCTAATGCGTGATTTTGCATTGATATTGCTGGCAGCCTTTAAGTTGTACGTTTTCTTTGTGGTATGCAAGATCGTGTCTATTAATAAAAAAAATGTTTATCAGTTTAGCTATACAAAGCTAGTTTAAAAATGCGTGTAACTTACTCAAACCCAGTCTTGATTTTACGCCACCTACAGCGTTGCCTTGATAAACGCTTCCACCATTTGATTTGTAATTTCTTTCGTTGGGAGATTGTTTAAATCGCGGTACCGATGCTATTTCATGCACCTCTGCGGTTGATGCAAATTTCACAATTTTCTCACTGCTGCTTACAGCATTGGAGCTGGTAACGATATCATCCATATCAATGTCATTATCACCATACATTGAATTATTATCGTCGTCGTCACTTTCGTTTGTTTTTAATGGTACCTTCTTCACCAGTATAACCTTTTGTTTTTGTGGATGTATGCGTACAGGTGATATATTTGAAGTTACGATCTTAGATTTTACTATTGTAGAATGATTCTAAAAACAAAATATTAATTAACTAAATATTAATATTAATACTAACTAACTACAGTCCGCTGTTAATGAACTTACTGTTGTTTTCGAAGTGTTTTTTAATATTGGTTTAATATGTTTAGCTATGATTAAATCATTATCAGCATCTTCCTGTGATTTTCCGCCCAAACGTGAAAATATAGATGAACCAGCAACTGATTTATTATTGTTGCCACCGACACCAGTTACTCGTACTTGTACATTGCGTATAGTTGTTGCTTTCGCGTTACTGTTACTACTTCCACTACTAATTTCGCCATCATCTGTATCATCTTTAGCCAAATCTATAGTGGATGAAGAGTTTTTAGCTAGACGTTCAAATACATCGGAACGTTGTGTGTTTTCACGTTGTGAATATACTAAAAAGTAAAATTATATTTTAGTAAAGAAAGAAAATAATAGCTAATCAATGAGAATTACTTACATTTTTCTTTTTTGGCAAGTATTTCCTTGCTTCGCTTTGTGCTACCAGAGGGAAGCTTTATTTTATATTTACCTTCATGCTCTGGTAAAACGCGTCGAGTTTGCTTTGACAATGGTTCACCCAACTCATCTGAAGACTTTAGATATACACGGCTGCTACTTGTGGTTGAAGTACTTGATGTTACTGGCACAGCTGCAATAAATAATAATAATAATATAAGTATTATCTAATAAGAAATAAACAGCTGCAACAAAAACATTTGATAAATTTGTTAACTTACATTTTAGTCTAATCGTGGTAGTCGTTGATGGACGCTCTTGTGATAAATGAGGGTTTGCCGGTACGGCTGCAATGGGCACACACATTTCCGAATTGGTGAGCACTTTTTCTCTAGCAGTTTGATCACTCACAGTCTTTGCATGCCTAATTTATAAATTTAAGTACAAATATACTTCGTCACCACATAAAATAAGTAATATTATTGCATTTTTTATTTTTCTAGTTTTTGAAACTTTTGTTTTTATGAAATTTACCTTAATATAGCTATTATGTCGCCCATCGGTGTTATACCCATTTCTCGCAAATATTCTTTATTGAGATCCATTAACATATCATTTTGTATGCGATTTTCCACAAATATATGTGCGTAACTGGCTGCCGCTGGTGAAGGTATACCAGATGCATTGAAGAATTTCACCCATTGTGCTATTCAAAAAATTTACAGTAATAATTAGGCTATTTTGCATAGATATAGATATAAATAAATAAACAAGTCTGCCCACACTTAAGTCCACAATACTAAATAAGTTTTTTTAACTTAGTTAAAATCACACTAATCCTTTTACACACCTGCTGCTGCGTTCGACATATTCGTAACACTTACAAGCACATTTATTTAAATATATTTATAATATTTCTAACGAGTGCACTTTTCACGGACGAAATATCAAATGCTAAAAATAATTATACGTTCTCTGATCGCAGCCATTAAATGTCACTACAAACGTCAAGCAGAATATGCTCATGAGGTTGCCATAACGATTAGTTCGCTAAAGAAAATGAAATTGTGCCATTATTCGTGGTGAATCTGAAATGTCAGAATTTTGCCCATCAGTAACTAACTCTGCATTTTTATTGTTTAATTAAAAATATAAATATAAAAAAAAATATTTAATAAATTTAGGATTATAAAAGAAAATATAGAATGGTTACATTACTTGAAGACCGACAAAACAGATGGCATCTCGTCTTTGTTTTCTCTATAACAGCTGACTTCTGTTGTTGTAAATAAGATTAACCTCTAAATAAATATAAAGTTTAGCAAAAGTGGTTATAATAAGTATTAAAGATTAGTTATTTCTGTGTACAAGATGATTTTAGGAAAATTTTTAGCGCACCGCACTGTGCAAAAAATTAAGTATTTGTTACCGAATAAGACACTACACACACATAAGCGACTGCTTTCGGTTACCAACACATTAGCCACTAAGGATTCCCTAAATATATCAAGCGAAAAAACGCAAAAATATTTGGAAAGTTTGCGCGTTGAATTCTATAACTTGCGAACTAATCCCACACCGCACACAATACCTCGTCTAAACCAATTAGATGGAGTTGTATCTGCTCTAGAGCAATATCGCTTACTAAAATCTAAACTTGCGAGCAAAGAAGATATTGAAAATGAAAAGGATGTGGAAATGCGACAACTTCTTGAAGAAGAAAATGAAGTAGGTGTAAAAATATGCATATATTAATTTTAATGAATATCTTTGAAATTTTTCAGGTATATGGAGATATTTTACGTCAAACGGAAGAAACATTACTTGATAAGATGCTTATGTTAGCCGAAGAACAAACATATAACTCATTAATATTTGAAGTTAATGCCGGCGCCGGTGGCCAAGAAGCAATGCTGTTTGCGCGTGAGCTTTTTGACATGTATACAAACTTTTTTGATTATAATGGATGGTCGTATGAAATTATCGACAATGAGGAGACAGGTATCGGTGGCTTACGACATGGTAATGTTATTGTACAGAATAGAGAAGCATTTAACCAAATGCAATATGAAGGTGGAGTGCATAGGGTACAACGGGTGCCTGCAACTGAAAAATCTGGTCGCATTCACACGAGTACAGCTTCTGTGACAGTAATTCCACGTCCAGACAATGTAAACATTATTATATCTGAGAAAGATTTAAAAATTGAGACAAAAAGAGCGAGTGGCGCTGGAGGTCAGCACGTCAACACTACAGATTCGGCAGTAAGAGTAGTCCACTTACCAACAGGTTTAGCAGTGGAATGCCAAACTGAACGTTCGCAAATAAAAAATCGTGAACGGGCTATACAACGTTTACAAGCGAAGCTGGTGCAACGGGAATTAGAAAGTAAAGAAGCAGACGAAAAACGTACTCGCAAAGCACAGCAGGGTAATTTAAACCGTAATGAGAAAATTCGTACCTATAACTTCGTTCAGGATCGCATTACAGATCATCGTATATCCAATGGCACAGTGCATAATTTAGAAGAATTCTTTGAAGGCGGTGAAGGCTTGGAGAGACTTATAAAACGTGTCGCTGTAGAATATAGACGTGCAAAACTAGTAGACTTAATTGATAAATATGAAGCCTTAGTTGCTGAAACGGAAAAAGGCGCGAAGAAAAATGTGAACGAATAAATTTATATTCAAAATATTTTTAATTTGATAAACTAATTTTCACTTTTATCCATTACATTTAAATTTGGTTTGAACTTATTTAGCAATATTACTCCAGTCTCCAGCAGAACCCATTTGCATCAAATGTTTTCGTACTTCCTTTTCCATTATCGCTTGTATTTCACGGCAACCGGTCAACGCCTGCTCCATGACAGCTGGTAAATTATCAAGATGGAATCTTTGTGACATTTCCATGAATGCGATCTTATTAGATGTTGGTAAAGATGCGACTGTTAATGTAGGTCCTCCAGACATTTCTTCCACATGCGAAACATCCGTAAGGGGTATGTTGTTTTTACTCAATGACGCTGTACATGCCACAACGTATTCTTTAAGACAAATACCAGCATCGACAAGCGCAAGAGTGGCGGCATTTAGAGCAACGGCATAATTAGCACCATCTGCTTGTAACACTTCCACGTATACATCAATTTGTGAACGTGGGTATAACTCAGTCTTTATGGCAGCCCTCAATGCTTGTCGTAAGTAGAGTGTAATTTCTTGTGATTTCCGATCCCCACGTGGTCTGTTCTTACGTTCCGCAGTAGAAAATGTCGCCATACTATATTGACAATTTATAACCACTTCGTTAAGATCGAGTTTGTTACTTTGCGCCTGATGAGGGCCATAAACTGCGGCAAGCACTTTTGTGTTGCCTTGTTCCAAATAGGCGCTACCGTCAGGTTGTTCAAATACACCGAGTTTACATTTGATACAACGGAGTTCATGAGGACGACGACCATCTAGACGTAGACCCTGCTCACTAAGCAATTCAAAATTAGACATATCTTTCAATAAAATTAAATCTTAATTCGTTAAAACAAGAAACAAATTGTTTTGTATTGGAATTGCACGAGATTTAATGTTGCGGTGTCAATTTTGTTTTGTTTTGTCGAATTTGACAATTGTCAACTCAGGGTCGCAATAGAGAAACTGAAAATGTTTATAGAACGTTCAAAATATTTTTATATATAAATATTAAGTTTGATAAATAGTATTGGAAATACATACATTTATTAACGTTTTAAACTTTGAAATGCGATTACATCGTTAGTATTTGAAAATTTTCGTTAGTGATTGCTATAAATGAGAACTTTTTGATCTCCGTAAAACAAAGAAACTTGGTATCACTGGTATTTTGTGTCAAAAGTGAAGTCATGTAAAAAATGCAATGGGCGTTTAACAGTGAATAAAACGAATTATTTTCAATAAACATAAAGAAATTCAACACATTTATATTAAAAGTTATTGAGAAAAATTAGTGAATATTTGAAAAAAGTTGGTACGTTACCAGCGGTGTTATAAAAATAAAAATATGTTATTTTCTCTTAACCGTGAAGGAATTTCTCTACGCAATATAGTCGCTGTTTTAACTATATGCATGCGAGTATAATGAAAACCGCCCACCACCCATCACCAATATTTTCTTTTTACGAGCCTGCGAGCGTTACAAAATTGTAATTCACAACACTAAATTTGAGACCGACGATAGTGCCAGTGGCCAACAGCGCCAATTAAAGTTAATTAAATGTAATTGTAATGTTGATTATTGGAGGAAGGGAGCGCGACGCAACTCTAGGGTCTGCTTAACAGAGTTAAGAGCGTTGCACATTTTACCCATACATATGTTTTGCTTATCCATATTATTAATATACATACATATGTACGTACGTATATGTATGTATAAATTTATTATTATGTGTTTTGATACAAGTTGAACAAGCGCACACAATATTTTGAATTGCGTTCAACGTAAAAATGCATAAGTAATAAATTATATTTAATAATTGAAATATGTGTTTGGAATAATTACTATGTTTCTTGTATTTACATTAGATTAAAACATTTAATTACGCCAAAACAACGGTTTAAGTCTAAGGATCACATTATAATGCCACCATTGAAGACATACTCGCCACACAACGAATTCAATGCAAATTGTCACAATGGCAATAGTACAACTGGCGAAGGTGAAAGTAATACATCAGCCGCAGCCGCAACAGCATCTTCAAACTTAAGTGATATTTGTGGCGCTGTAAGCAATGCAGGTGCACAGCAACGCGCTTCACTGCCTTGTTACAGCAATGCACAGTTTCCATTCAAAGTGTTAGCCAATTTAAATCAATTACGTGCAGAATCGCGTTTCTGTGACGTAGAAATTGTTGCTGGTGGTATTACATTCAATGCACATAGGGCTGTATTAAGCGCGGCCAGCGCATACTTTGAGGCAATGTTCCGCCCTGAACTTGGTTTGAATGAAGTGAATCAGAAGTCAGTGGTGCTGCACACCATAGATGGCGAGATCTTAAGCATTCTACTGGATTTTATATACACAGGACGATGTGAAATTACACAGGTGCGTTAAAAAAATTAATTTAATTAATTTTATAAACAAATAATTATCAGTTTTTGTGTATTTTCTTTATTGAAATATTTGATATTTGTTTATTTGCAGTCTAATGTTCAAGAGCTATTAGCTGCAGCTGATATGCTACAATTGCCGGAAGTTGTTGACGGCTGCTGCGACTTTCTATGCCGCGAATTACATGCCACCAACGCATTGGGCATTCTCCGCTTTGCAGAAGCTCATAATTGTGAGACTTTAAAGAAAAGTGCATTGAACTTTGTGCACTCAAACTTTCCGGCGGTAAGTGAAATTGATATATGTATGTGTTGTGCTAAAAATACCAAGTTTAATTTTAATAGTATAAAATATAAGGAAATATATGAATATTTAAGGGAGAAATGTAAAAATATGAAAATAATTAAAAATTTAAGTTTGTGCTTGATGTGTTTCCGGCCGGGTTCGAACCGGCGACCTTGTGCGTGTGAAGCACACGTGATAACCACTACACTACGGAAACGGTTGTGAGTAATTTCACATTTAACATATTTATCATTACAGTACCAATGTATAAACCAAATATTTCTTTTTATTAACTAAATTAATATATTTATTTATTACAAATACATACCATATATGTATGTATATTAATGAAGATAAAATATAATTTAAAATTGCCTCTGTTTTTCCACAGATAACCCTTGAAGATGAATTTTTAGACACACCACAAACTCTGCTCGCTCAGCTACTTACTTCCGAGCAATTGCGTGTCGATTCCGAATCTCAAGTTTTCCAAGCGGCCCTACGTTGGATAAAACATGATGTTACTCAACGTCGTTGCTACGTCTTCGACACGCTATCACATGTCCGTTTAGCACTTGTACCCGTCAAAGTAATCGATCAGGCGTTGAAGGATTGTCGCGATATGTCCGTAAAGATTGCCTTACGTTCTATTTGTCGCGATATAGCGTCCAAGCGCGGCCAATTGGTGCCACTACGTGTCTGTCCGCGTCAACAAGCTAAAAAGAACATCTATATAATTGGTGGCTCGCGGCGTGAGTCGCAACGTGACTGGACACCATCCGATTGTATATTTGAAACAGTCGCGAAATTCGATATCTTTCGACGAGAATGGTCGGAAACGGCTCCAATGGAAATCGGACGCATTCTGCCTGGTGTGGCTGCATTGAATGGGAAAATATATGTCATAGGTGGCGAACGTGGTTCTCAAATTCTGGCTAATGGTGAAGTATATGACCCACAAACTGATATTTGGACACCGATAGCACCAATGATTGTGCCGCGTTGTGAGTTTGGTCTCTGCACCTTTGGCGGCACACTGCTGGCGGTGGGCGGTTGGTTAGGTGACGATATAGGTGGTTCAATTGAGTGCTATGATCCCGAAAAAAATGCCTGGAGCAAGTTGGGCGATTTGCCGGAACCGCGTTTTAGTATGGGTGTAGTCAGTTTTGAAGGACTTATTTATATAGTTGGTGGCTGCACAACGTCAAGTCGTCATTTGCCCGATTTAATAAGGTGCGTATACTTCAATTACTCTTCTCATATGTGACATATGTATGTAAAGATTTTTTATTTTTTGAACTTTAGTTTCAATCCCATAACTCTCGATTGGCAACCGATGGCACGTATGCGCACCGCCCGCTGTCAAATGGGTGTAGCCGTGCTAAATCGTCATCTCTACGTAGTGGGCGGCAACAGCAGTTCGCAGGATGTGCTGAGCACAGTTGAGCGTTACAGTTTCGACGATAATAAGTGGGAGAGTGTGTGCTCTATGTCTGTACCACGTGCTATACCCGCTGTAGCTGCTGCTGATGGCCTTCTCTATGTGGCTGGCGGCGATCAGGTTAGTTAATACGTTTTTTTTTTTTTTAATTTTTTTTTTAATTAATGTTTTAATTTTTTCAGCCGTGCGAGGATAACTTTTATCGTGCACATATCACAATCAACGCCGTGGAAGCATATGATCCCCTGACTGACACTTGGAAGAATTGCCCCGATTTGCCTGTAGGGCGCTCGGAGGCTGGCGCTGTCGTTGTTTAACGCATATTTATGCATAGTAACGTGACACTTTTGGGCAATAACAACTGCTGCGTTTATATCGTTGTGCGTTTAGTGAAAATTATGAAGTCTTTTAAAAAACGTATGCGATAAATTTAATATTCGATAGCTAGGGTATGCATTTGTATTATATCTATTTAATAATTTCATAATGTTATGATCTTTTAAAACATTTTTTACATTCTACATATAAAATTAAAATTAAGATTTCGCATTAATAAGCCACAACTATTCATATTATTTAAAAATTCTATTTTTGTATATTATGCATTTATTAGAGTGCGAATTGGAACACCCTGCAATTACAATCTGATTGAACACTCAGGGTTGAAAATATTTTAATTCAAAAATTTTGCATTAATATTCATTTTTTTTGATAAATTGACAAATTTCTAACTGAAAAACTGTATTTAAAATGAGTTAAATATCAAAGAGACGAAAACTAACAAACAAACTATTTTATTAAAAATAAGCTTTAATTTTGAAAAGTTAACAAAAGTGATACGCAAAATCGAAAAAAAATTCAAGTATAAAGTTGGTTAAAGTTAGTTAGTTAATTGGAAGTAATTGTTTTTTTTCGTTCCGGTATTTGGGATATAAATTTCTTTATTTTTCGATTTGATATAAACAAAAAATGCGCAAATTGTTTTGAAAGTGCCTAACATCTGCACGTAAACATCAATACACAAATAAATGATACCAAAGCGATCAATAAATTATTTAATGATTTGTTGAACTTTTGAGCGCCAAGACTGTTGAAAAGTTCTTACAATTATGTATTTATTCAAACCTTGCAGCATTTCCTAAAATGGAGTAAACAAATAGGCTTCCAATTGTAATTGTTAACAACACCTAAATGAGATAAATAAATACAGACATGTCAAATTTAGTAAGTAAAAACGATATTCAGCGCATCTACAAAAAAAAAAAAAAATAATAAAAAGGCTACAAAGTTAATTTGAAGCGCTATAATATTAAAAATTATAAACTTACATATAACGGTGTCTTTTTCATAACAAAACATCAAATGTATGTAGGTATCCTGTAGTGCGTATTTAAAATACCGTTAGCACCGTCTATAATAACTGCAAATACAAAATTATGCGAATATGTTGTAACTAACAATTGTAACTAATTGTATTAAAAAACTTTTATTATACTAAAATAGAAGGAGATTATGTGGCACATCTAATTTATGGTTGAACTAATGTGTCTTTTTTGTAATAAAAGCAGCAATTTATGCGCATCATTTTTGCTTTCAAGAACCTTGACACTGAGGAGAAATCAAATAATATAAAAAATAAAATTTTCAACGTTAACGCATTGCTAAAAAAGAAAAAACAAAAAGAAACATTTTCATTTGAAGCAAATATACAGTAACTATTGATGTTGTCACTTTACGAACTATAAAACTGCGCTGCTGTTCAATATATGAGATAATCGCAGAAATCTTGTGTAATTGTTATTTTTTAAGTTTGTGTGAAATCGATCTGATCGTTCTAAAATAAAAATACATAAAACAAGAAAGGAAGAGTTAAGTTTGGGTATAACCGAATATTTCAAACTCTTGCAACATGTAAAGATATAAGACAGGGAAGTAACTTGCTATTGCGATCTCCTGTGCCAAAATACAGGTCTAAATCTTAATTTGGTGTTTAGTTATAATTTTTTATAAGTTTTCGGGATATGGCGCTTGTTGGGCGCACATACCAAGTTTCATCAAGATATCTCAATTTTTAATGAAGGTACAGCTGGTAAGGTCGGGCAGACAAACAGTCACCCCGATTTCAACTCGTCTCTTCATCTTGATCATTTATATAAAGTGAACAAAGCTGTTACACCCTGTAATAACATGTTGCGAGAGTATAAAAATCAAACTCTTTTGAAGATAAAAAATAAAATTATGTCACACAAAATGTTGTATCAAATGACTAAATAGAGTACAGATATAAGTATTAACATTATCACTAGCTTTAAGAAAGTGCAAATAAAAAATAATATAAATATGTACAAAAACTGTGTGTTCTTCATTAGAAAATCTAATTTTATCCTGCGCAAATATCGTCATCTAACAATTTGTTTGCAGATTGTACCTTTATCTTATAGAATAATCTATGACAAATTTCATGACGATACCTTGTGAAATAAGAAAGTTTTCCATACAAAATTTACTTGAGTTTGATCGGTGAGTTTGTATGTCGGCTGTATGCTATAGTGGTCCGAAATCGGCCGTTATAACAAATAAGCAGCTTCTTTGTGTGAAAAGTAGAGTGGTAAAATTTCAAATTGGTATCTCAAAAACTCTAAAAAATAATTTTGCATTAAAACTCACCGAAAACTACTATATTTCAATAGAAACATAAAATATAAGGGAAAATATTAAAATAGTAAACAGCATTGTGTTTCCGGCCGGGTTCGAACCGGCGACCTTGTGCGTGTGAAGCACACGTGATAACCACTACACTACGGAAACGGTTTACCTTATAACCTCAAACTGCACACTTCACTCATATTTCTCATAAGGACACACCGTTTAAAAATTAAAAAAATTAGAATTTGTGTTAGTATGTTGTAAACCAACACAGAATGCCTCTGAGCAATAAAAATTTATACTTGATGTTGGTTTTCAGCGGTAGAAAAAAATTCCAGAAATAATTTCAAGAAATATGATGAAAATGGAGCAGTAGTCTTCATTTCAGCTGAATCTTAATCATCGGGGCACCTTAGAAAGATTGCTAATAATCTCGTATACTAAGAAATCTCATAAATACAGAATACTTCCATTTTTGTATGAATTATATGTATTTGAACTTGGCACCTTCAGTTAATGCAAAATTATAATTTAAACCGGGAATCATAGCTTATACAATATATTTTTAAAAACCTTACAAAGATACATGAAATTCTTAACATTCTATACTTTCAACCATCCAATTCTTTTAGGAAAATATTGAAAGCGTTACGCATATGCTCACTGCCAAACTGTGGATTAGACTTAAGTGTCTCGCGCAGCGCGTAACGACAACTTTTCAAGTCGTAGGGGCTAGTGAATTTTTCTTCGCTACGCAGCAAACCCAGCTGCATCAACATGTAATTCAAAACGCGACGCTCTTGTTTCGTCTCCACAGCATAGTCGACTGTTTCTTTATAAAGAGCTTTTGCCAAATCCAATGCCGCGGGCGATGATTCAGAGAGGTGTGCACATTTCAATGTCGTAAAAATGAGCAATAGCAGACGATTATCGTCAGTGAATTGCTATCGATAAGAATAAATAAAATATTGAATACAAATTATAAAAATAATATTATAAATTACCTCAATAATGCTTTTGAAGGCCTTCAATTTATCTGTCTCCTGCAGTGACTCGAATGCTTGTATGGTGCAAGGTTTCTGACTCAGACAAAATGATTCAACGGTAACTGGCTTTGCTGGTGTCGCTTGTTCAACAAAATGAACATTTTTAGCAGACATAAATGTATCATTTGCACCAAACATCTGTTAATCATATATAGAAACGAATCAGTAAAAAACAGACACTTTGCAACATTTGTATGTTTGAAAATGTTTACATTTGTTGTAAAAGCGGGAGATGTTATGTACGCTTCATCGCCCTCTTCGTCGGCATCTTCATCTTGGTATTCCTCATCTTCATCAACTTCCTCAGTAGTATCCTAAGCAATTTAAAAAAAATATTTATTACATTTATTTATTTACTTTAGCTTGTGCATACATCTTCTTCATCATCGTCATCCTCTTCATCGTCGTCATCTCCGTCCTCATCTTCATCATCATCGCACTCAGATTGATCTTCTTCAAGGCTCTCTAATGCATTTGGATTTGCAAATGTCTCTATAATCTCCTTAACACGTTCACGTCCTTCATAACCAAACTAAAAAAATTTAATACCATAAGTGAAAAATGTCTCAGCACAAATTAGCAGCCCTTACTTGATTGCCATCTAGGTTAAGCCTCTTTAAATTTGTCTTATTTTGTAAAGCTTCAGCCAAAACAACACCGCCGTCTGCGCCGATTTCATTGAACCCCAAATCCACCACCTCGAGTTGATTATGGTTTTCGCTTAATGCCTCAGCAAAATGATAAGCGCCATGAGTTTTGAGCAAACAATCACCAAAATTAATATCTTGCAACCTAAAATTGGAAAAAACAATAATTTAAGCTAATAAGTTAATCGCTTGTACAATTTTGCTAACTTACATTGGCGTGCATGCAAAAGCTTCTGCTAGGGAAGCTGCGCCTTTCTCAGTTAATGTGTTGTCGTTCAAATTCAGAATGCGCAAATTAGGGTTCTCTTTGAAGCCGCTAGCTAATGCAGCAATGCCCGCATGATATATGGAATTTTGTGGCATTGCTATTTCTTCCAAAGTTTTTAGTGTAGAAAAAATTTTTGCTATGGCTTTAGCACCATCGTTTTCCAAACGATTGCGACCGGCAATAAAAACTTTCAACTTAAGTGGTGTACCGGCGGCAACGCTGCTCTTATGACAATCCAATATAGCTTTTGAAAGCATTTGGCCACCGCCAATACCCAAACCGCAATTATTCAAACGCAATGTTTGCAATGAGTAAACTACAGACGAACGCAAAAGATTCTCTAGTCCAACCATACCATTTGGACCCAGAGCATTATCGCTCAAATCTAATACTGTAAGTTTGGCACCGGCTACAATTAAACCATTACCCAAGTGCTTTAGTGACAATGGTGTCTCGGTTTTGAGTCTTCTTGAAAACATATTATACCATAATGCTTTATGAAATTCGGGGTGCTTCTCAAGGCCTTTTGCAATAGCAGCCGCCGCATCTACGCCCAAGGTGTTACCACCCAACTTTAGGTAGTGGACAACTTTTGTTGTTTCCAAAGCCTTAACAATATCAGCAACTAAGTAAATATGTAATATTTAAAGTTTAACAAACAATTTTCCTTAAAACAATTGTCATTAAGGGCATTCCACCCCTTACCATCCTCTGCTGTATCCCAACTTAGTTGTTTATCCTCAAACGAGAGCCCCTCTTCCTGCACATCATGCAACTCTTGTGCAATTGTTCCGAAATTAAAATTAGACATTATTGATAACGTAAAATTGTATTACTGTAAAAATAATTAAATCAAACACTTGCGAATCTTTACAATGCTTGCAAATTTCAAATATTTTTGTTGGAACGCTTGTTTTGTAGGTTATTCAGAAAAAAGCCGCTTTTTCGCCGCTTTGCAGCTGTCAAGATGGTAGTAGCAGGGTGACACTTATAGTAAAATATTGCATGCAATATGTTGGGGTGGTTTTCTAGGGTAGCCAAATTTTATTATTACATGCAATATAATAAAGGAATTTTCAAATATAACTTAGCACTTAGCTGTTAAATAGAAGTAATATCTAAATGATGGCGTTAATGGAATAATAATAATTGATAAAGAATCGGAAATACATGCAAACACTTAAAATATAAAATTTATTCAAAGAACAAAACTGCTATTTAAATCATAACATAAAGGTTTTAACACACAGATCCATAACATTTCATTAACTGTTGCTGTTTAAATGTAATCTAAGTAGGTTTAATACCCGCTTATAAAAATCATGACTTTTGAGCAATTTGCAACTCGAACTATTTTTTTTATCAATATGGTTTTTAAAAAATATTATAAAACACACGAGACCATCATAACAATGTGCTGAACTAACATTGTGTTTCTCGTTCTGCAAATACCTGTAGGAGCAACAAATTTTTTCCTTGAAGTCCATAAAATTTACTATAACTGCTGAATAGCAAAATAACCGTTAAAACTTGTACAATCACTTAACAGATATTAAGTAATTTATGAAATAATCATATTATTGTTTATATTTATTAAAATTTATTTTATTTATAGTATATTGAATGATAATGTTTTAAGTATAACCTTATTTGGTACATACTTAATGTTTCATGTTGCATCTTAAAATCCGTCTCTACGTTCATACATTTATCAGTTATCATAAATATATAATTAGTATGACAATGCTAATTTATATTCGAAAATATGTCAAAGAAATCAGTTCCAAATTAAAATTGTACACAAAGTTTTTGTGCGCTAAAAATACATATAGTAATATACAAATTAGCAAGAGATAACGAAAATAAGGAGTTTCTAAAAATAACGCTTCTTTCGCATAATTATTTCAATTTTAAAACAAC